TTTGCTGGAGAAGAAGTTTTCATAGGAATGTTAGGATAATGCGAAAGCTGACACTTCAGGTTACAGCCTCAATTCGCCAGTTTTTTAGAACACGCTCTTATAACGCTGCGGAATTTACAAAAAGCCCTGCTGCAGACTGGCAAATTTCTTTCCGGTTAGAGCTCTTTCTTACGACTATTAGTAATCGTTCGACAGCCTAATCTTATTTGATTTGAACGCTGCGCTTCTATCTTGAAAAGATCGTTCCACTGAAACGCAGCACGAGAAATCAAATTGGTTCACATGTGCAAGCAAGGTGGTCTTTGAGCAATTTACCGGCTGCCGGTTGAAACGGTAATGGGGGTTGCAAAATTATTGAATTATTGAAGATACCGTTGTCAAGAACATCGACGAAGAATACTATCGACTCGTTAAACATCTTCACCTTAGCGCTATGAAAGCTGAGAGTGCTAAGGTCACGAAGAGAAGCTTACCTCCGCAGACACTCGAGCTGATATGTCAACGTGGAATCGCACGAGCTACAGGCAACCAAAACCTTACGTCCGAACTTGCGAAACGATGCAGAGAGCGATAAAAGAAGACCTTAAAGAGAGAAGAACAGCAGTTATGGCAGAAGCTGCAGAAGCTGGGAAGAGCATCCGCAAAGCCCAGCGAGGCTTCGCCAACTATAAGAACCAAGATGATTGCACTCCGATACCTTGACGGGACACTTACAGCTTCGAGAAGGGCTATGGAGAAAATCATCCACCAATACTATTCGGATCTCTTCGCTAGCCATGTCCTCTTACCGTCATATAAATTGAAAGAGGACGAATATGTCGTCCACCGGTCCTCCTTCCGAAATCCGACATGCTATATCGTCGATGAAGAAACAGAACAACACCCGGTCCAGACAGGATTAGACCAGAACACCTGAAGAACCTGCCGTCAGTTCTCATCAACACCCTAGCTCGGCTCTTCACTCGCTACCTGTCAGAATGCAAGGTCCCTATTCAATGGAGAACCAGCAAGACCGCATGTTGTTCAAAAAGGAAGACCTTCACGACATAGGCAATTATCGCCCAATCTGCTTGCTGTCCGTTGTCTATAAACTCTTTACTCGAGTCATCCTAAACAGGACTGACAGAACACTGAACGAAGGACAGCCATGCGAACAAGCAGGGTTCCAAAAAGGATTTAGTACCATAGAGCACATCCACAAGATTACAAGACTCATTGAAGTATCGCGAGAGTACAAACAACCACTCTGTCTCACTTTCATCGATCTGAAGAAAGCCTTAGATTCAGTGGAAACAGAAGCGGTTATGGAGGCTCTGGATAACCGTCCCTACTCGGTACATAATGATCCTTCGTAAGCTCTATAAAGATTTCCCGACCAAAATATCTCCATTCTACAACAACATCACCATTGACGTAAGAAGAGGGGTTCGACAAGGCGATACAATTTCGCCAAAACTATTCACTGCCACCCTACAAAACGTCATGCGAACATTAGAATGGGACGATATGGGAGTGAAAATCGACGGTCGACAATTAAACCATCTTCGGTTTGCTGACGATATCGTTCTCATAACACCAAACATCAGTCCAAGCGGAACGAATGTTGACCTATTTCGATAACGCCTGTGGAAAGATTGGTCTTCAACTAAATCTAACGAAAACGATGTTCATGAGGAACGGATGGGTTTCGAATGCTCCCAGTTACGTCTATCTAGGTCGTGAATCAACATGATGAACGACCTATCTCCAGAGTTGAGCAGGAGGAAACGAGCGGCTTGGGGAACATTTAAGAGCATCGAAGATGTAGTGAAGAGGACAAAGAACATCCGACTCCGTGCCCACCTTTTCGACTCGGCAATTATCCCTGCCCTAACGTTTGCAGCAGAAACGTGGTCGCTACGTAAGGAGGATGAAAATCACTTAGCGTTATCGAACGCGCAGTCGAAAGATCGATGCTAGGAGTATCCCGTATCTCGCAAATGAGAGAAAGGATTCGAAATTCCGACCTACGTCAACGATCGAAAATCAGAGACGCCTTCTACACGCCAGGATATCAAAAATAAGGTGGGCCGGACACGTGATGCGCTTCACGACAACCGATGGACGAGAGCCGTTACCGACTGGATTCCTCGGGACATCAAGCGCACTACAGGAAGACCACCGATCCGTTGGTCCGATTTCTTCACGAAAGCGATGGAAGAAAGATATGATGCTGAGCGAATCCCAGAGCGAGGAGGACCCACTGGGCTACTCTTGCACGCGATAGGGAAAAATGGAAGAGTTGCTGGTACCCGCTCGAGTCACTCGACGATCAAGGAGACGACAGGTGATACTAGGTGACAGGTGTATGATTGTTCATCCAAACAGCGCAATTTTTTCATTTGAATGAACTTGTCTTTTTATGCAGTATTTCTTATTGTTGAAATATCTGAAAAAATTGCTAGAACTTTTCCGCACTTTGTATGTATTACCCCGTTGATTGAAATGTATACACATAATTGTGAATTTTTTTGTTATAGGTGTGTTATTATGTATACAGTTTGACAAAAAAAAAAAGAACTTTTGCTTTGCGGTCATCGCAACTTACTGTGTCGATTCAAACTTCCAGCACTCGCTTAGTATCCTATCATTCATCCCACGCAAAATCTTTTAACATTTCACGTGTTGGCTCAACTGATGCCAGAGGATTTCGTTTTTCTTCATGAATTACCTTGGATGCTGGTCGGGCAGACCTTTTTAAAATCATTAGAAAAAATGAATGTTTTAAGCCTAAACGGGTTGCTACGCCAGGACCATCCACCGGTGTTTCGGAGGTTTCGGCCTCCTCGTCAGTGACTTCCGCCCCACATCAAGCCCTGCATTGTAGCAAGGAGGGAGGCGTATGTGGTGATGGCATAGTGTATCACGGGTCCATTACCACTTAAAATCTTGGAGAAACCTCAGCTAAGGTGTTCTCTAATGCATTTATTGGCTCTTTGTAAGAGAATGTCAGGAAAAAGAGATCAAGTTAGGGCTTTCATCTTGATGGCTGGAATTACTAGCCACTCCTACCGAGATTTACAGAATTTATCGCACAGTGTTGCTCACTATGGCCATAATGCTACGAACTGGGTCATAAAAACCACAGTAAAAACATCAAAAAGGGATATCAAATTTATGAGCGCATCAGTTAATATTGTGAAAAAAATGGCGCGAAACTGCTCCAGGTTTCAAAGCTTCGCTTGAGTCCCGCGCCATTTACGTGTCTTCAGAAGCAGAGAAGCTTGGCGTGATGTGGTGAGCTCGGCGAGTTCATCACTAAATTGGGTAAGCCGAACCTCCATGGCTGAATAGTCAGTAAGTTTTCCATATGTTGAATTATGCCCTTTTCTGTCTTAAAATATTGTCTGAGTACTCAGCGCTTCATTTGCGTGGCGTTGCGCGCGACCCCCGGAGCAGGAGTGAGGTTGTGCTCGGCGAGCTCAACAGATGAAACTTTGCACGTCTTTCTCTCAATAGTTTGGTGAGTTACTTCTATTCTTTTTATTACTCAATGATATATTTATCCAATATTCTATACGTAAGAATGTTGTATCATCTGCAATTTATCGTGGTGCGACTCAGCGACGAGCTAAGTACTTCGAGTGCTAAACATGATTTCTTTCTACTCTAACAGCACTCTATAAGACTGTTCAAAAACCAGTCATATCATCAAAATTGTCAAGATCCGAGATGTCAGAATGACTACCACAAATACATGTATGTTACTACATTTCGTGATTTATTACGCTAGTGCCACAACTTATGAGAAAGCCTGATATTTATGGTCAAGTACTCCATGCTTTAGAGAGGCGGACGTGTGTATTTAAATCGCAAAGCAACATACTTCAATACGTTGCTCAGTTGGTTGCGGTGTTAAATGCACCTGTAGGGGAGAGTGCAAAAACTCTTTGAGAGCCAAATTTCTCCCTACCCCTTCCAAGTGAGTTCGTCGAACAACATTTATAGGCCGCACAGTCTTCGTTCTCGTTTTTTTAGGATTTGAACTTACCGGCGGAGCGATAAAGTGGGTTTGGTGTGAGAACGTTGAGTATTCTGCCTCTCGGTATGTAAATTTTTTGATTGTTACGAAATTTACTGCAGAACATAGTAATGTTGTCTTGTTCAGCACGTAAAGACCACCGCCAGTCAGCCAACTATGACTTGCAATGCCCGAAAAGCACTTTCAGAGAAGATTATTGAAGAAAGAGGAGAGGGCTCCGAGATTATACTTTCCGTCTGCAATCTGCTGACGAGAAAGCAATCTATAAGAAATCGAGCAGAGGCAAAGAAAGTACAGGTTTGGGATTCAATTTGACCGGTCTAATATGTTGGCTGAGCATTTCTTAGATCGCTGAGTGAATGACAAAGTGATAGCGTCGATGGTGCAATGCGTATCGCATGAGTTTGATAGGGTATCCACGGGCTCGGCACCGCATCTGGTTCCAAAATTTGCTTGTGTTTTAGAGCTCTTGTGGTTATTTTTCACATCTTACCCAATCACGAGAAGATAGCAGGAAAAGAAGTAAGATGCTTCATCACGTGACTCTTTCCTCATTTCATAAACACATATGTCTCAACATTTATATTTTCGTTGCTATGCGTAGGACGACGTTAATTTTCAGGAGTATCACTTTGATAGCATGTGCACCATTCACTCACGTTACGTAATGAACAGCGCTGGTTTTCAATATTGGATTCATAATTTTTTCGACAGAGGGAACCGTGACCGAGTGGTTGTTATGATTGTCGAGGCGAGCGTGGAGCCGAGTCCCACTCCTCGACTGTCCACAAGACACACCCTATAGAACGCCACAGTAGGCTGTCCTTGAGATTTCAAAGAGAGATCTCGACCAGTATTCACCATCATTCAAGAAAAAAACGAACAAACGAATTGAATACTAGAAGTACTGCGATCGGCATGATGAAAATTGTGATGACGGGTCGTGTAAATAATAATTAATAAGAGCAAAGTGAAACGAGCGACGTAGTGCAATGGTTTAGCGCATGCCCTCGGAAAGAGAGAGATCTGGGTTCGAATCCCGGATGACGCAAGCGTTTTTGCACACTACTCTACATCATTGGGTTTACTTAAATAAGTAATAGCTTTTTTCCACAGCTCAATGAAAGATTGAGAAGTTGCAGAAAAAGACTGCTGTGTCGCTGTGAGAACATGCATAATCCACTGACTGGAATCACTGCGTAGGATTTATGAAGATGAACTTGTCATTAAAAATGGTCGTCTGAGGCCAAAAAATTATCTGAAGCTGGAAATGATTGGAAGAATTGAATTGAAGGAAAGGGGCCAAGGTGTTGATGACGAAGTTGAATAATGTTTATCATATTGACCAGCGAGTCTTAATGGACGTCCGTGATATTAGACAATCTCAGCTTCGGTGTAAAGAATCCATACACTACCTCAGTTTATTTAGCCGTGAGTTTGGAAGAGACCAATTGATAGAGACTGCAGAAGATGTTTTATGTGGGCCAACTGCTGAGCATAGGTTGCGAGGAATTACCGGTCTCTTTCTTTAAAACGGGAATCATTAGAGTGTTACCAACCTTATTACTTCTCCTAATATGTCGAGATATGTGCCTAGCATTTTGGTGAATTACGCCTGTACTTTTTTGCTATCTGCTCTCCGTTTCGACCCCTTGTAAAGAGTGTATTTCCTCGCCATTTTGACTGTTCTAATAATCGTTTGATAACACAAATCAAAAGAATTCGAATGGTTTATTCTATCTCCAAAAAGCCCTTATATTGCGCTGAAGAGCAAAAATAAAATTTTTTCTCAATTTTTCTCAAAATTGAAACGAAAATTTCTCGCTGACCAAAGCTCTTTCCTTCAGAGTTTTAGTAATCAATCGCTAGATCAAATCGTAAGAATTCCAATAATTAATTTGGTTTTTACAGTGGCCTGGTAATGCACTTAACAGCCATAAGAACATTAAGTTTCGTGTAAAATAGATCCACTTCAACTTTTCTCTCCTCAATTCGATCCATTGGAAGAAAAGGTTTTGCTTGACCGATTTCAATGTTCAAATTATCAATCAATGATTAAATCAAGAGAATGTGAATGGGGCAGTTCACTTTCAAGAAGGCCATGTTGTTGCGCTGAAAGCGCAAAAATATCATTTTGGTAATCATCCAAAAATTTGCTGACCATAGCCTCTCTCTTACAGTTTTGACAACCAAACGGTAGATCAAATCTCAATGTTTTTAACGAAGTTTCTAGTCTCTTTAACAAGCTTCTTAGTGCTTCACAAAAACCAAAAGAAAGATTAAGTTTCGCACTCGGCGCTTTTTTCTAGTTTTGCAACCAAATTTTTTTAGCTGTTACAGCGTGTTACGGAGTCCATATTTAGAACCAAGTAAATTACTGGAATTTTTTGAGATTTGATCTAGTGATATGTTATTGAGAATCCGAAGGAAGAAGCTTTGGTCAGCGAGAAATCTTTGAATGAGAAACAAAATTTATGTCTGCTCTTTCAGCGCGACAGCAAGGCCTTCTTGAAAGTGAACTACACCATCTACCGAATTATTATCAAAATATTTGAAACAACCGCAAAAATAAGCTTCTTCTGAAAGGGCGAATCGGAGGGCAGATAACGAAAAGTACCTCTCGTTTTGTGGCGAATCAAGTCGATCACATTTAAACACAGTTTAATCAGCTATGCACTTCCATCACCTTGAAACGAAAACTCAGAGCATAATTCGGTTCGCAATGCCACTATACACAGGTTCAATTTACACAATATGCAATAAACATATGGATAACTTATGGTTCTCTGATAATGGATTTGATACACATAAATCAGAGAATTGGCAATAAAACAGCCAGTGAAACAAAGTTTTCCCATACTGTTCGTATTTACAGTAGAAGAACTTGCGATCATTCTCCGACCAATCTCCTCTTATTTGCTTGGATATTATTCGGATGACGTTCTTCACTAATAATGCATATTCCAACGCACTCCATTTATTCCCTTCTTGGCCAATACCGTTTCTGATGGTGGTGGTCTCCTTCGAACATGACGACGTCTATGAAGGAGATTACATCACCGATAGTTCGATTATGTATAATAGTATAGATGATCACGGTGCAGGAACTTTTGCACCAGGAGTTCTTCATGAGGTGCATTTCGTCTTGATCACTTTGAAAGGATGACTACGTCGCCACTGAGCGCATTATTTATCGGTTTTCATGAATGCGAATACGCCAACCGTTCTACGACTAATTTTGACTTTTGAGGCTGTAAACAAACTTGGCTGAGTAACGCGGTGTTTTGAAAAACGTCTTCTCTCAAAAGAATAAGCGGTCGATGGAAAGCTTTATTATTGTGAAATTCCGATTGCACTGAGCTTCACTTCTCATGTAAGACGGTTACACTCCTTAATCAGTGATCGCCGGTAAGGTTTCATTTCTATAAATGCAGTCAAGAACCTTTTCTCAGTAGGGTTAATGTTAGAACAAAGGACAGCTTGTACAACTGACAGACTTCTGAGGACGATGGCATCTTTAGGACGCTGTGCGCACGGCGTTATTCATGTCTGAATACTGCTTTCTCAACTGGTTGTAGTTTATCTAAAGTCAAGCTCAAGGCTCTGAGTTACTTTTCCAAAGTTACAAAGATTAACACTGCATGATTTAACGCTCCCCAATTTCCTTTTCTGTAATCACTCAGTGTCTATCGCAGCTTTTCGTGTTTTTATTAGTACTATTGACTTCTTTTCGTTCCGTTTCATCATCTCCATTTTCAGTTCGAATCACTCAGTAAGTGGAATCGGGCAACATACATCGATCCGAAAACGAAAGGCAACGTTGCACGCTTCATTACCCGTGAGGTGCGTGAGAGAATGTTCTATCATCAGTTGTCTTCTAACAGTGACTATTTTCTTTGCCTTCATGTGATGGAAATTTCGAAACGCCCAAATGGACATTGTCCGAGCTTGAACTGGTTGACGTTTCGAAATTTCTGTTTTGGCAATCGAAATTCTAACCCTTAAATTTGATCAACAACACACTTAATACTCCTTGCAATCATTTTTGAGCCACACATGTCAGGGGTCTGCTGAATAAGGGCTGACTTATAGAGCCCGATACACGTATTTCGATCTTGCGATCTCGTCAGTCGAGCAGTTACCCTTTCTCTCTTTTGCTAATCTCGTGGGTGCTCCAGTCCCCACACTAAGAGTTAACGACGAAGAACTGCCCGACTGACGAGATCGCAAGATCGAAATACGTGTATCGGGCTCTATAGGTCAGCTCTCCTTTAAAAGACCACTGACATGCGTGGCTCAGAAATGATTGCAAGGCATATTGAATTTTGAGCTGTGGTCTTAAGAAAACACTCGAAACGAAAGTTATGACACTTAATACTGTAATTCGGTTACATACCGAGAAATGTGAAGTTAGCTTGACAACAATTTTTGATGAGACAGCATTTGTCAAAGAAAACTTGACGAAACTTCAAGAAAAAGTAAATTTATAGATTTCTCAATGAAATCGGATATTTTATGGTAGGAATGTGCGAACGACCATGTTGTCCGAGTTTTCAAAACGTCGACATCTCTTCCTTGGGCTGTAACGTCGACGTCTCTTACTTGGGCTGTTATAGTTTGTAACGGCATTTTGTAGAATTTCTGTTCTCACAAAAATCGCACTTGTAGCGTAGAAGAGCTTGAAATTGACGGCAAAATGTTCTCCGAGCATTCATCATATTTGCAACGTTTGAAAGATTCTATATCTTCGTCGTCACTATGAGACTGTTTTCCTAGAGAATCTTTTTTTTTTGGCAGGTATGCTAAAAATGACTCCGGCTTTCTCGATCACGGGCGATTCTTTTTCCCAATTTGCGCTTACACCAACTGTTTATTCAGCAAGTAATCGTTTGTTATCAACCTTATAGGAACTTCACATAGGGTGATAGTCAATGAGCAATTACCGTACATTGAGTGATCAACTGGCACCAACAACGTGACATTTTCAGAAATTAGACCTGAGTAGCCAAGGCTATTCATAGTGGATGGGTTCAATGAATTATGCTAATAACCACCCCATACACTTTTTGAATAATCTGTTAATCTCCAACAATCTAGTGTAAAATTCATTATCTCGAAGGAAATATTGCCGTGAAAGTTAATGCCGTTCATGGTGACTAAGGTTTCGTACAAACAGGGCCCACTAAGCCATCATCCTTTGGGATGCGAAAGTTGATGCAAAACTCATTCAAGTCCCTCCGGCTTTCTCCAATTAAGAGAAGATGATTCTTAGTAATAATGGAAATCTAGAAACGTCAGAGCACAATAGCTTCAAGCGCCTGAAAATCAGCCGTTTCTCCTTGAAATGGTTGCACATAGAGCATTACTGTCCATCTAGAACATTTGTGAAGAAGTGTGACGATCGATCTGGCTGTCCACCGCCTATACTCTATCGTATAACGTGTGAAAGGCAGTGCCTGCAATAAAGTGTTTAATCATCGTTCTTACTTGATTTTGAAAACTTTTGGATTTGTTTTACGGTTGATGATCTTTCGTTGTCGATGAAGTTTGTGTTTTGACTCTTTCTAGACTGTAGGACAGTGCACTTGGGTGATGAATTTTAGAAGGAACTTTATGCTTTTCTTCAAGTTTATTGAAGTCCACGAAACACGTAAGAGGTGTTCTTATAAGTCAGAAAATCATCCGATTTAATTCGATAATAGAATCTTCGATTCTTCATAAACTATGTCTTCTTCTCAATTGAATGCAATTCAATCCCTTATTCGTTTTAAAGTTCATGAACATCACCTCTGCTTCATTGATAGTCGAAATTTTGTCTGTGTTTTTCTCGAGAAGGTTTGGCACAAATTTTCTACAAGTGCATAACTAAGTCCTGGTTGTCTTAATCGAGTGACTGTATAATCCACTGTGGTACGTGAACGGTTTTATGAAAAATTTTTTTCTTTGTTTCATATCTGGTAACAGCGAAGTAGTGTTCGTATTTAGTACGGATCCACGACTTGCCCTCTAAGCGTTCCGAGAGTGCACTCGCTTTGACGCTGTCAAACGCTT